CGCCGTTGGAATTCCAATATATAGTAATTAAGATGGTATGTTGAAATTAACTTACTTTTAGTATCAACTATGAGAACATGAATTTCGTTTCTGAGCACACAAGTTAGTTTAATACTCCCTCCGTCCCACTTTGACAATCCTGTTTCTTTTTTCACACAGTTTAAAAAAAAAGTAGTTAACTTTGTTGGAAAAGTAAATTTAGATTACTATTTTTCTAAAATACCCTCACATTAAATATGGTACAACTTTATGAGAACTTGAATTGATGGTAAAAAAACAATCAACTCTCATTAAATGTGATAGGTTTATAGTAACAGCTACTTACATTGAATAAGGGTATTTTAGAAAAATTAAAATACAACTACATTCTTCAATTGAAAAGTGGACTGCAATTTGGGACAAATGAAAAAGGAATATAGGGCTATCAAAGTGGGACAGAGGGAGTATTCCCTTTTCTTTCTAATTTCCGTTTTGGGTAAAAAAAAAAAAAAAAAAACAGTGTTGATCCCAGTTAACAAATATTCTGGTGAGGAAAACTTACTTTGATTACTTTCAATAACAAAACTCTTCCTTCTTAGAATCTGATTAATCTTGGGAAAACGAGCTTATAAATTCTCCTCCATTTGCGGAATCAAGATTGCACAAGGACCAAAATCGCCCATAGAAAGGGAAAAAAAAAGCCTATCTTGTGGTAGTACTTTTTACAAAGCCCATCACGTGTGTTTCTGCAAAAAGAAAAGCCCAAAGTAGGAGCATTGTATTCTTCGGTGTTTGATCCTCCCCGATGTTCTTTTCAAGTTTCCGCTGCCTTCATTCTTTACTGAATTTTGCCATTGCTTATATATATATATATATATTGCTACAAGCATTTCCCTTTTTTCTTTTTGTGTAATCTTGATTATAGTTGAGGACTAGAAATCAGTTTCAAGGGAACAAAAATCTAGTACCAAACTAAACGTCTAGCTCGTTGAACTAATGAACTAAAATCCCAAGCATACTATAGAAGGAAAAGTGAGGCAGCCTGGCAGGCATACATGCATGCCAAGGCTTTTTGATCAGATGCCTATCTAATAAAAGTACAAAACTAATGAAAGCCAGCCTAATTAAGGAAGTTGGAAGATGCATAAAAGCCAAGTGGTTTTCTAACATACTATACAGTGTTTTATGGAGATGCTTAGCTGCAAAGGACCTACGTACGTGTAGCAAGGGATCACAACGAGATTATTAGTTTAGTTGGAGTTGGAAGAAGGCCAAGAAATTAAAGAATTGCAGTTTTGGGGGGTGGGGGGGAGTATAAGAATAATCAATGAAAGTTCAGACACCGATACTCGATTTTTTAGAGATTCTATTCCTCTTTATCCAATCCAACTACAAGACTTTGTTGCGCCTGCTTTAACAAATTAAATTGATTGAAAAATGAAAAAGGAGAGAAAACATCAAAGAATTGAAAATTCCATCCAGTTCAAATTCAAAAGGGCTATATGTAAAGTGAGGAGGAAGAAAGAATGGTCTTTAATCTTTATTGCTGCATTATAATTAAGGATATGAAATATTCTTGGTATAGAGGGCTTTGCGGAAAGCAAATGACAGGTACATTTACGGGCTGTAAGGCTTTGTCGTAAGAATCATTTTAACTGGGCGTATCAGAAGACGATGACCAGCATCACCAGAAACCGATCGTTCTACTACTACTAAATTCCTAATAATTCATTTGGGATAGCTAGATTCGACGATATGGCCACCAAAGCTCCATTATGCGTCAATGATTGATGGATTTTGGCTTTGGGGGTTTTTACATTTTCAGGATACTTATCCTCCTCCAAAGTTCTTCCTTAATCACTGACTGCCGTTCCCCTCGCTTCTATGCATGTATGCTTATCCACTATCCATTTAATATTCGAATTTCATCCCCCCCCCCCCCCCCCCCCCCCCCGGCACCTTTTTTTTTTTCTGGTGCCATGAAAGCTTTGAGAAAATTTAACTAGTTAATGAAAATTGAGTTGTTTACCTATAAAAAAGTAAAAAGCGAATGTAAATCGCTACATGCCCGTGCAAAAGACACATACATGCAAATATCTTCTTCTTCTTTTTTCTTTTAGTATCTATCGCAATGAATCGTGCGCATATAAAATACTAGTATCACTTTTCCTTGAAAATTCTTACACAGATAAACGGGTTATTGAAATCAACGCGGAAGAAGGTGTGTTTGGATTTAAAAAAAAAAAAGAGCAGTGAGGTTGGAACTCAAACAACCTACTTGAAGAATCATCGTTTAAACATGTAAAGCCATGGATGGCCAAGCTATTTAGAGCCTATAGACTAGTAAAAGATATTTGTAATTTGATTTTTTTTTTTTTTGGTCTTGTTTGAGATATATTAACCAGGTCATGAGAGTAGACTAGATGCATGGCTTTCACCATAGATATACGAGTCTGAGAAAATTAGTGGTAGCTCAAGTGTCGAAATTCGTTTTAGAGTTTGACCTGCAGAAGGCAGGAGCATAAAGGGTGTATAGCATCTGAAGCATGAGAAAGTGGGGAATGAATTCAGAATCACTCTGGTCGGCCTCATTCACAAAAGACGCCTTCCCAAGCAAAAGATGAAGTTTAGAGTATTGCTGAAGACAAGAATTCGAGGAAATTGATAGAGATGGATCAAAATACAGGTCTAACAAATGGTTATTCATTTCTCTGACCCTTTAGCTTTCGCGTCTAGTGTCAACTAAAAGTTCGGAATCGCTCATAAAGCCGATTTTCAGTCTCAGAAAAAAAACGTCTGCATTCTTTATTGGCTATTTTTCAGTTGAATATATGCTACTAGTCCTTTTCTTGTCCATTACTTCCTTGAAGATACTCTTCCTTTTCCTATTTTCTTTTTTTGGGGGGAGGGGGAAGGGGGGGGGGGGGCAGAAGAATACGTTTGCGTGTTTGACCCAAAAAACTAGTTAGTATTCACTTAAATACATGTTGGAATCCCCAAACCCTAAATTTTTATCATTCCTTTTTGTGCTTATCCTGACAATGACACATAAGCTGTGCTTAAAATACAAATTTGTCATTCCCGTTTGATTATGCTGTGATAAAAGATCAAAGCTTTGGAAGTGAAATATTGAGTTATAGAACCAGCAAATGCCAGCACCGCCCGCCCAAGGAGAATTCGTCGAGGAAAAATTCTTGAAAGAATACATATGATTGTTACATTTATTGAACAACATGACCAATTTTTTTACCCGGGCCTTGTGATTATTGTACATTCTTTTTTCCCAAATGCACAATAAATCTGCTATATTAACAGAAACCTCCAAAAAAAAACCCACTAAACCTCCTTTCAAATAAATAGTCGAATTGCTGGTGAAAGATTAACAAAATTAAGTATGAAAGCAAAATAGTCAAAAAGGCTAAGGCCAAGTTTGGGAATTCATGAGAACGAAGAGAGGAAGAGAAAATTTAAGTTACGAGAGGAAAGAAAAGAAAGAGACAGAGATTTTGTAGGTTTCGCCCGTTTCACGAAGAAATTTAGGAAGAATAGAATGATTTACAATTGATGAGGCAAATATGATTCTGATCTTAAGCCTTATACCTTAGGTCACAATTTCTCCACTTTCTATAGAAAATTGTTTTAGCAATTCTATCCTTTCATTTCCTCCCATTTAACTTACTCCTTTCTATTCATACATCCCAAACGACGGAAAATTTTTGCATTTTATATATATATATTTCCTTTTTGGTGGTTTCTTTGCTCTTTTCATTCTTCCATTGCCTATTGAGAATGTCGAAACCAGAAGAACTCTAGTCGCTAGAGCTGGCCTGGAATAGGCCCAAGATAGTTTAACGTCTGGAGGTCAGCCTGTTTGCAACTACTATCAGTTTCCCATCAACCTAGCTCTGGGCCAGCTCTCGAAGGATACCACGCAGCTGTCGGTGGTTGTTTGGGCTGGATTCCGGCCTTGAATCAAGCTGTCTAATAAAGCATCATCAATTGTCTAATTAGTGATTCCATTTAGAACTGGTCTATGTTTTTCCTCAGGAAGGTTTTAGCTGAGGTTAAGAAAAAAAGTAATTAAACAAATCTCTCGCATACAACCCTCCGAAAATTTGATTATAATCACAAAACGAGGCTTCGTTCGTGCTCTATGATATCTATTTTCAACAAAAAAAAAAAAAAAAATCGCTGCCAATGAACTGGTCTCCGAAACATCCCTGCATGCAACATGGAGCCACAGATTGGTGAATCTTAGTGCACCTTTTAATGTTCTCAATTACGTATGCTTCACTAATTGATGCCTTCCAGTCTGTAATTTTCCTCTTGACAGACAAACCGTTCATTGTTTCTTGTAAAGGTTACCTACCATCCTTTTTGTTGGCAGCATAATCGCGGTTTCATAAATTATATAGGTCCAAACGGCAGTAGAGACGCAACCCTATGATGAGGATTCTTGCAAAACACACCATTCATTTTCCATACCACGGCCATGGCAGCAACCAGTCTCGACTTTCACCAGTTGACAGTGCTGGTGCTGCTCTAGTCGAAGTCTACATGATTTGCATGAACAAAAGTAACAGAAATTTGTAAGAGCACTCACCGTGACAGTAACTACACAAATGTCCATCCACAAACATGAGATTTTCTCTGAACCCATGTGGCAGCAAAAGCTCAGAATTGCAGAGAGCTCAGGATTAAGACTTGACAAGCTTTTCCAAAAGACAAACCCATAGACATTCATCAGCTGCATCATAAGCAATTTATACAACACCTCCAAGTAAAACAAGCAATAGAGATGGACAAGACACCATAAAAATGAACAAAGAATATTAAGACTTCCACCTGGATTCTTGCAAGCTGCTAAAAACAGATCAACTGATGCAATGAAATGCTTTGCCCAATCCAAACAAACAAAACTTGCATGAGATACGCAAACATTTTGGTTCTAAACTGAACATAAAAAAGCTAGCAAAAGCAAAAAGAGAGAAGCAGCCAAAGTACAAGCAAACCTCGTAAAGTATACAAATTTTGTCCATGCAGATTGTAAGTGGTTCAGTAACGCACAGAATACATAGATTCAAAGTCAAATAAAACGTTACAGGGGAAGGGAAAAAAAAAGAAAAAGAAAAAGAAAAACAGAAGCAGAGGCAATGCACAATGACAACTGCATACCACTGAACATGCACTTCTGGCTTCTGTGCACCACTCTAATGGCAGCAGAAAAGTCTCGCTTTTTGACCAGATGGGAATGTAAATACTTATATGTTTGACCCATTTTTCCCATGGTTCCTTTCTTGATGACGAGGAATATCCAGTATCAATGCATTATGTATAGAAAAGTGACAAAAATGAGACAAGTTCCTTTCATACAGAGAATGTCCTGTTTGTAAGAACTAAACTTAAGGTTTGAAACAATGACAAAATCTAGGGGCAGGGCAAGAGTGAAGAAGCTAGAATTTATCAGTGCTGAGTTGACAAAAGACTTAGAAGGGAAATCCTTTTTGGACGCTTCTTTTTGAGGATTCAGCTAATCTCTTAATACCTTTTGCACTAGTATAGAATGACATCAATTCCTTGGCCACAGCCTCCGGGTGACAACTAATGAATGCCTTGATAAATCGCTTCTCAGTCATCCTCAAAGCTCTTACCATAGAAGGTCCCCTGACTTGAGGAACAAGACCCATATCATCAATCTTCTCTGCAAGAAGATAACGTGGTCTCAACAAGGTCTCCAAATTGAAGTACAGGAGACATGGATTACGTAATACACTGCTGGCAGAGAGCTTCATAGTGCCCAAAATAAAAGTCATGTTTCTCTGAACTTTATCAACAGAAAGTGTTAATAAAAGAGGAGAGCGTCCAAATAATTTCAGTATCTCATCTTCAGAAAAACCAAATTTCTCCAAATTCGCCATCTTTGCATGGATTGTCTCAAGACGAGAGATGGAAAAGAGAGTAACTACATACTTATACATCCTTGAAACCTTTGAGACCCCAGTTCGACGTATGTAGTCCATCTTTGCATCATTCAGAGTACACCGGGGGATCAAGGTGGGCCGAGAGATGAGCATAGGGACCAAGTCCTTTCTGCTAAGACCAACATTCTCGAACCTGGCAATAACAGGCTTTATACTATTATGAAGGTCATACGTGAGCAGTGATGGATTGCGGAGTATAGCCTTGAGCAGAACTTCCCTAGAACCAAACAGTGCTTGAAGATACTCGATGCATTCATCCAAGTTTTTATTGAGTCGACAATTGAGAAAGCGGGGACGACAATAAATAATCTTTGCCAGGTCAGATGAGGAGATACCCAAACCACTGAGTGTGTGAAGCTTGGATTGAAGGTTGTTTACATCCATTTTACGCACGGATGGCCGGCGGAAAAAAATAGTGGACACATCATTTTCACTACAACCCCAGCTCCTTAAAACATCAGCAGGATCTAATGGTTTCTTTTGAATACCAACAGTTTTAACCTTTTCACCATAAGTTTCAACCACTGGCAAAGCTGCTGTAGCATAGGATCTAGGGTTCAAAATGACTGTTTCAATCGCAAAAGCACTAAACAAGGACAGATTGAACCTTCGGGTGGCTGAAAATAGGGAGCGCAATTTGACTAAAGCACTTAACTTCAATTTCATATCAATCTGCAAATGGGGGAGTATTCAGAGACTATGAGGATTTATATGAAATAAGAACACTTGAAGCAAACCACCTAGAATAATTGAAGGCAGGTTCCCAAAAACAAGGGTGAGCCCCTAACAACCCAGCAAAGTAAAGGGCTTTTCTGCAAGCAATCAGCAAATAAAATGAAAAGAAGTTCAGCACAGCCATCCTTGGACAAAACAGGAACTGTTTTAATTACCAAACTAAGCAACGAATTAACGTTGAGAACATAGAGAAAAACATCAGTTAATTATCTCCAAAAAGTACAAACAACAAAATATCAAACGCCTGCCGAATGTGAGCAAAGCAAAGCTGCAGTTTTATGATGGATGCATGCGCATGATTCAAACAACTTAAGCGAATAACTAAAACCCACATTGCTAGACAAATTAGAGAAATTCATTGTGCCAAATTAAATCATCACTTTTCTTGTATGAAATACTTACGACAAAAATCTAACCCAGAATCAACCACTGCAAAACTTGTGAAAGAAAATGTACTTCGTCCAACAGCTTGCACTGAAAATCGAAAACTACACCAAAAACAACAAGAAACTAATACAGAATAACTTATTGCGCTACATCTCAAAATCCAATATGATTTAAGGTATCGTAGGCGTCGAAAAACTGGAGGGAAAAGCAGTATTAAAATATTAAAGCCGATAAACAAAGATAAGAGCGAAGAGGAACTTACGTCGGAGAGGCGAAGGAGAAACTCCCGGCCAGAGGTTTTAAGGTTTTGTCTGAATTTTTCCAGTAATTTTTTAGTCTTTTATTTCTTGAGCATACGGGCAAGTGCCAATGATACGGGATTTTACTGTTATACCCTAGGAATTATATATTTTACTGTGGGACACAGTAACAATTTGACGGGTAAGCAGTTCATGGTGACCGGTGAGTTTCTTGAAAATAGGGTATTTTTACACTTCTGCAAATCTAAGACGTTGTTGGGAGAAATCATAATTAGGACTCCTTTTCGGAAACAAAATTCTAAGAATTTTTTGGGTCTAAAATAAGGCATCTTTCGCCGAGGAGAATTTTGAGTCGTAAATCAAAATTGTCATTTTTTTTCAACTTATTTCTAGTTTGACTGCATCGGTTGACCACAGTCTTGTAAACTGCTGCATCAGTTGGAATTGGTAAGATGAACAAAGCTCATAATGTTGCCCGACTCAAGAAGATTAATTAGTTCAAGGTGCATCTATTCTTAACTCGAACGCTATCGAATGAACAAATTCATAAGAACATGCTAATAGCAACCACTTTGGGCTACATCTTGTTAACTAGAGAATGGGCTGTCTTTCATATCACTAATAGCTAGGCAGAGGAAACAAATAGGTACAAAATTCTATTTGTGTTGTAATCATGCACAAAATATTACATTATTGTTTTTGAATTGTAACAGCCACAACTATTGCCTATATTTCTCCAACCAAAAGTTGTCTTAAGCGTACAATAATTATCCCCCTAATTCGCAAATTTTATTATTATTATTTTTTTGGCTACAAATGGGGTGGAGTAGCAACTTCTAATATGTCAATTCCAAGTAATTCCCTAAGTTCAGTAATTCACAAACTAAGTACACTGTAAATTAAATATGAGGTTTTTATGTGACTTCAGAAATACAAACAAGAAAGTAGTTTGGAGTAATGGTGAGTAATTTCAATTTTCTACAGAAGATAGATGATGCCTCTCTATAAAAGGTCTGGAGAGTAACTCTTTTTAACCTCATTATTTATCGGGAATTTCGCCAATTTCGTCCTTAAACTTTTACATTAAAATCATTTTCGTCCTTTATAATTTTTTTAGCCAATTTAGCCCTTCGACTATTTTGAATTCTCTAATGTAGGACTTTTGCGGCGGCGACACCCCATTTTACATATTTCGTACATGGGTATATCTGCCCTTTAAATTAGACTTTTTAATTTAGACGGACCTCTGACCGTAGCTCTTCTTTTCTGATAGACATCTCATCCCATTCACCAAAAATTTACACAAACTCTCTCACACTCACACTCAAATCATGAAACGAAATTCACAAGAAAAAACAAAAAATCAAGAACCATAAGGAAAGTGAAGCAAACATACTCTCAAGGAGAAGACGTCATTTATGCCGACCTAGACGAGACGGCAAGCCAGGTGGCGTCCAAGAGTGGAGTCAGCAGAGTTGAAAGGAATGGGAGATTGGTGGATGGTAACGGCGCCATTAGTGGGGAGACAACCGACGTCGTTGCTGAGTGGCTTACACGTGTCCAATGCTCCGATCTTAGTGTCCATGTTTTCGACGGTGAGACGAGGACGGCGACGTCTAAGATGTCAGTTGTAGATGTAAGTAAAGAGTAACAGAAGGATAAAGTGAGAAAGTTCCAGAAAGTTGGGGAGAAAAGATGGAATTCCAATCCGTGGAACTATTCTTATATTTACCTTTGCTCTTTCTTTTTTTTTTTTTTGGTGGGTTCGATAAGGAAGGAAATTTTTTTTGCCTTGAGGAGCAGGTCTCGGCCTTTCTTTTGGAATGGGTGGTGACCGGTGAATGAATGTGGGAGAGCAAGTTTGTATATATATATATATATATATATATATATATACACGTGGTTGGCTGGATGGTCTTAGTTCTCAGAGCCCAGAAGGGTTACGATGGCAGAAGGAAAAACAAACGGAGGAAACCGGAAACCAAGGGCGTCTCATCTTTTAACAAAGGGTGCCTGATTATTTTGGTATGGCGGTAGGAATCAGATTGAGGCACGCAGGACGTCTTAAAGAAGAAATGGCTCTCCAATTTCGTTCATCTACAAAACAAAGCATACGAGAAGAAGATAGCAATTTCAACAGCTGTGAGGGTTGAATTGGAATCAGTATGAACATTGTTGATTAAAGGCTCTTCATGATCTGGTAAGTCAAGATAATGAGAAAGTTCATGACTTCCTAGATGATCATTGGAATACTTTTCAAGCAAGTAATCAGAAGAAGCATAATAAGAGCTTGGAACAACATTGTCATGATGAATTGGTGGGAGGAAAGTGGAGTTGAACATGGTGTGGTAGAAAGGCAAAGACTTGGAATGTATTGAGTAGTTTAATTGACTTTTGGTATGAGAAAGTGAGATCATCATCTATATATAGTAGAACAGTGAAGTTGTCATTTTCTTTAAGAGGTTTCCTAGCCTACTTCCTAGCAAGATACTGTGGGCTTCTTTAGCAGTCTATGTTATGCCAGAGAGCAAGCCACCATTGCAATAACAAAAGAATAAGAAATTTTACTGGTTGGCAGCAACCATGAATGGAGGATCGAAGAATCAGAACCAAACAAAATAAGTTTGCCGGTGAGTAGATTTAAAATTGTGTATGAGAGAGATTTCTCCTTTAAATTTTGTTTCAATTTTCCTTTTGGTTCTTGGTTTTCTATTTTTTTCTCATGGATTTTGTTTCTTGATTTGAGTGTGTGAGAGAGAGTTTGTGCAAGTTTCTAATAAATTCAGATGAAATTTTCAATGAAATTCATCGGAGAAGAAGAACTACGGTCAAAGATCAGTCTAAATTAAAGAATCTAATTTAAAATGACAGATATACCCATCACCGGTTGTACAGAAAATGTAAAATGGAGTGTCGCGGCCGCAAAAGTCGTACATTAGAGACTTCAAAATAGTTGAAGGGCTAAATTGGCTAAAAAAAATTATAAAGGACGAAATTGATTTTAGTGTAAAATGTTAGGGACGAAAATGGCGAAATTCCCTTATTTATCAAAGGCCATGAAAAAGATTAGTCCTAAAGAGCTCAATATTGTTAAATTGCAAGCGATCATGAAAAATTAATAGTATTATAGTCCTAGGCAACGCCCGATGATGGAATATGGGAAAGAAATTCTGTGTACAAATTATAAAGCCAATTGGTTCGCTATGTCAGCTACAGCCCAAGTATTGACGGTGGTTAAGGATCTCGCTGCCTAAACTCAACAAAAGTTTAGCTCAAAACTGTCCCCTCTTCTACCAGTAGTCTCCACAAGAACACTTGCCATCTCTAAAATGGTGAAACCGGTAAGGATCCCTCAGTATGATTTTCCTTTGGACTATACTACTCACAAACTTGAAAACCGTATGGCAATCTCCACAAACGCGAAGATTTTTGAAAACCCTCAAGGTCGAACCTTCGGGAGTACTTATCAAACCATATGCAAGTGCAAGTCTCTCACTGTGATTCCACAAATTGTGCTCCTTCTGTTCTTCATCAGTGTCATGCAAAGCAAAGCTAATATCAGCAACATAGCCTGCTTCATTTATCTTTTTCCTCAGCTCCGCAAGTTTAACGTATATCTGCTCGGACTTTGGGTGAGAACGATCTCCTATTCCAAATGTACTAACTTCAGTTTTCAACTTAACCCAACTGCACGCAGGCTGCTTCTTTACACTATTTGATTCCATTTCAACCCTTACATTCTGTACATCTTGCCATTTCCCAGACGCTGCGCAGACATTTGAATATAAGACATAAGCTGAATCATCCGATGGCTTGGTTTCAAGAAGACGTTTAGCAGCTTTCTCTCCCAAATCCATGTTTCCATGTATTCTACATGCTGCCAACAAGCTTCTCCATATAAAGTCATTTGATGGGACTGGCATATTTGTCACAAATGCTTCAGCTTCAGCTAGTCTTCCTGATCGTCCAAGAAGATCAACTATGCACACACAGTGCTCTATTGCAGATGGGACACCAAAAACTGAAGTCATTGAAGCAAAATACGCAAGACCCTCATCAACGAGACCCCCATGACTACATGCAGATAGAAGAGAGACAAAGGTGACATGATCAGGTTCTGAACCATACTGCAGCATTTCATGAAAAGTTTCCCTAGCCTTTTGAAAATACCCATGCCTAGCATAAGACGATATTAATATATTCCAAGACAATCGTGACCGCAAATTCGGTTGTGGAAGCATTTTTAGGATATCATCAATCTCACCACATTTACCATACATATCCATTGTAGAATTTTTAACATAATGATACGAGTCAAACCCCAGTTTAATGGCCAACCCTTGAAGTTGTTTGCCTTCCTCCAAGGAAGCCAAGTCTGCTGCTACCGCCATTGAAGCAGAAAGGCTAAATTGGTCAAAATCCACTTTAGCTCTTTGCATCTCCAGGATAAGTTTCAGAGCCTCTTCTCCACGCCCGTGACGAGCATTTGCAGCAAGCATGGCATTCCAAGTTACAGAGGTCTTGTTAGCCAATTCATCAAAGATTATATTACTCAAAGAGAGTTCACCACAGTTAGCATACATTGTGATGAGGGAGTTCTTAACATATTCATTTCTTTCAAAGCCCGTCAGAATCATATGTGCATGCAATGGCATTCCAAATCTCAGTAGGTAGGATGGAGCTGAGCAAGCACCCAGAACACTTATCATGGTAATGTAGTTTGCAGGTTCGCCTTTTTCTCTCATCAACTTAAAGGCCTTCACAGCCTCATCTGGTTCTTCATTCTCAGCATACCCTCCAATGAGTGCATTCCATGTAACCAACTCGAGCTTAGGCATTTTCTGGAATACCTGCTTAGCTTCTGACATCATCTGACACTTTCCATACATGGTGACCAATGCATTCCCAACTATCAAATTTTCCTGGAATCCAAATATGAGGGCAAGTCCATGGACTATCTTGCCTTCAACGAGGAATTCAGGATCAGAACAAGCAGCCAATGCACTTGCAAAAGTCACATAGCTGATAAATTTTCTTATGCCCAAAAGGCCACCCAACACTCTTAAGGCATCTAAGCTCCTCCCTTCAGAAACATAACCAGCCATCAATGAGTTCCATGAAATTAAATCCTTATCTTTCATTCCCTGGAACAAACTTTCTGCTTCTTTGGATCTACCAGTCTCTGAGTACATAGTAAAAAGAGTATTAGACAAACAAATGTTTGAATCAAATCCCATTTTCACTGCTAAACCATGAATCCCCTTTCCCCACTTCAAATTCTCGGGTGTACTGCTGACTGAGACCAACGTGGAAAGTGTGGTTGCATTTATATCACCATGCTCACAGCGCATCACATCAAAACATGTAAAACATTCCTCACAAAGTAAATTATTTGCACAAGCAGCTATCATCGAATTCCATGATATGGTGTCGCGTTCAACCATATTATTGAAAACATAGCATGCTTGTTTTACACCACCGAAGCTACCAAACATGGACACAAGCGAATTAGCAACAGAAATGTTTTCCTCAAATCCTGACTTTATGACATGACCAAGCACCTGATGACCCAAAAATTCGTCATCAAGAGCGCCAGAAGAACTAATAACAGTAGTAAACGTGTTCTGATTATAACCAATTCCTTCAAGTCTCATTCTTTGATACAAATCAACAACCACTTCATCATCTCCATCATTGGAGAACCCAACCATGAATGAAGTCCAAGAAACCACATTTCTTTCAGGCATCTCCTCAAAGAGCTTTCTAGCACTCGACATAAACCCATATGCACCGTAAAAATGCAATAACGAAGTGCCTACGAAAACATCATGTAGCAGCAGCCCATTTTTCAACGCCAAGCTATGAATTTGACGCCCTTCAAAAACCATGCATTCTACCCTAACAAAAGCTGTCAATAAACTCGCAATAACAAACCCACTTAACTGAATCCCTCGAGCCAACATTTCAACGAAGAGCCTAGTCGCATCAATGTAATAACCCATCTTAACATAACCGGAAACCATATTATTCCACGAAGCATCATTTCTCGCCGGCATTTGATCAAACACGTGCCGTGCCTCTTGAATTTTCCCAAATTTCGAATACATCCCTATCAAAGTATTTACATGGAAAATACTTAAATTGCTCAACATCCATGACTGTCTCAGGTCCTTCACAAAGAGCCCATGCAAAGCACGGCCGACTAAGTTGTCTGTGATATGTGAGAAGCCTTTGCTGAAAAATGCAGAGATTTCTGGGTCGGGATGGTCGAGAATGTAGTGAAGAGTGCTTTCGTTGTCGGTTATGTCCTCTTCTTCTTTCCATGGTTCTGAGATGGGTTTTGGAGAAACTCTAACGTAGTCGGCGATTGCAAGATGTGCTGAAGAAGCAGTAGAGAATTTGAGTTTGAATGGCAGGCCAAGTTTGAGAGTTGGAAGCTTTCTCCTGCAGTACCTAGCCAGCTCTGCTTAAATTCACAAAAAGCGCGGGCTAGGTGGGATCTTTGGCTACCGGCGGCTTGTGGTGATGGTGATGATGGAAAGTTCAGCTTTCAGTTTCTGCAGTTGTTCAGAACCAGAGAAAGAGGGAAACTGAAGGGGCAAATCAGTCTTTCGAAAACTTTGAATTTCTTTTCTTTTTTTTTTTTTTGTCTTCCAACTGCTATCATAGCTGCAGACTATTTTGAAAGCAGGCAAATTGTCAAATTGACCCCTTAAATGTTTGGAAAAAACTTTTTTTAAGTCCTTCACATTCATAATTAGTCAAAATAATCCCTCAAATATAGAAATATTGTCCATTTGGTCCCGGAGCTTATTTTTGCTTAGTTCTTGGGTCAAAAGACGCACACCTACCTTAATCCATAATTTCAAGAGCAAAATGGTAACAAAATCTGTCTCCTTCTTTGTCAAATGAACTCACAATACTCAACTGGATTCAAGTTTTACTTTCTTTCTTTGTTTATATAGTGATTCATCAATATTTTTCGATTGTTTTTATTATTTTTCAATCTAATATCGACACCTTTTTCTTCGCCTTTTGTGACGATGCACTTCTGAAGTTTTGTTATTAGAAATTGGGGTGTGGTTGCTTAAAAATTAGAAATAGGGTTTTAATGGTTGAAAATCGGGGGAAAATGGTGGTCATTTGTATGTGTGTGTATTTTTTTTTCAGTGAAGAGAAACGAATATATTCCCATTTTGCCATTGTAATTATAGGCATATGAGATAGGTGTGCACTTTTTTTTTAATTGTAAAATTGAGCAAAGACGAGTTCTAGGACTAAACACGCAAAATTGTTTATACTAAGGAATTATTTTGACTGATTTTAAATGTAGGGTACTAAAAGATTTTTCTTGAAAATGGAGGGACCAACATGGCAATATTTCCTTTTGAAAGCAGTTTAACAAAAGTTTCATAGCTGATTTTGTCAAAATGATCACTATTTCCATTCTCAAAATTGCTCCTGTATAGAGGTGTGCATTTGGAACAATTTTGATTATTCAGTAATTTGAATTCGATTTTTTTGGTTATTTTACTTGTACACCTATTTTCAATTTCAAATTGGAAATAACTGAATTCATTCAATTACCGAATCGAGTTCGAAAACGGTCATGAAATTGGTTATAACCGAATTGGATAGTAATTTCCACGTAATTAAATGGAACTCACTTGTGTAGTTGTATACACTTAGTCACTTATAATTTACTAAAGATGTATTGCATTATATTTACATTTATTCGTATTTTTTATATAGTTTAAATGTTTAATTTGCAAATAACTTGATTGCTTTCAATGGTGAATGTTAATACACTAATATGTTGACATACAATTCATATACATTCGCTTAGATTGCTTAATCATAGTGTTTAATTGTCTACGTTCAAATAAGATTAGTAATGAAAGAATATAAATTCACATATTGTATATGTAATGTAAATTTAGAGTATACTAATCCTTGCAGGTTAAAAGTTACATATTCAAATATTTAATGATTCAAACATAAATGATGAATCAATATCTAAATTCTAATCACTAATTATGCTTAATATTTAGTACTGTACTTGTACTTATTATCTAATTCTAATTATGTATAAAAGGGTAAGTATTATAATTATGTATATTTGTAGTATTATAATCATATAACAAATACTAAAATAATATGTTATACATCATTATATATTTTTATGATTATAGGTACAGGATAATACTATATATTATCTATTATTAATAGTATTTACCTATACAATGTATTAATAGTATATAACATTTATTTATATAATATATAATTTTATAAACTAATTTGATATTCGAATGCGGTAATACTCCATATGCTACTGTCAGAAGATAGAATGAGGTATTAAAATCTAGGGAAAAAGGAAAAGGCCTTGAAATGAGTTTTGGTACAGTTTGGCTTGGTATAAGAGTAGAGCTTAGTGTGTTTTTTGTTGCAGAGATTCACGAATAAACAGGAAATATATGCAACACGGACAGCCACGCGTTATTCAGAAGGAAAACGATGAAGTATAACTAGGAACCTATTAAGAAATTAAATTGCCAACTTCCAGGTGATTATGCACTCACTAATTAAGGCAAGTTCGGAGGAAATGAGACTCGAAGAAACTTATGGATTTACTGAAGCATCCAGATTGTTTAATTGCCCAAGGAAAGAATAATTGTTGATGATACTATTCAAGACAGGTGCACCGCAGCCCCAGTTACGATGCTGAGCTCTTAAATGCTGGAACGGGGCCATAGGTAGGCCTGCTCGCGAGCAACTCGAGTCAAAGCTCAGTTCGAGCTCGTGTTGATCGAGCTTGAGCCGTTCGTCAAGACATACGCCTTCATTTCTTAGGCTCGATAGCTCGACGAATTGCTCGTTTGGCTCGAGTAAATGTAAAATTACAAAAATACCCCTGAATCAATTAAAATTTACAACTTTCTACATACTCGGAGTCTAAGCTATAATCGATTTCGGCCACAGTAGTCTAAACTTTCCTCCTTCCTTCGATTAGCTTAACTTCTCTCCACCGACCGACTGTCCCAAACTCCCACTGCCATCGCTGCTACTGCTAGCTCCCTCTCCACTTCCTCCCACTTCGGCCACTGCCATCCTTTTCCTACATCGAGCCGAGCTCGAGCTCGAGCTCTATTTTTCGAGCTCGACGAGCTCGAGCTTACATATAAACAAGCCCGACTCGACTCGATAAGTTTAAAACTTGATTTGACTCGGCTCGTTTGCACTCCTATGGCATATGAACATGTGGGAGTTGCTTTGGCAAATTCTGTTATCAAGACCAACCACATCTGGAAGGCAGTCAGTGAGCGTCAACACCGCTTCAATTGAGCACCCACCCTAGCAAGCTTTCATTGCGATTTTGCTGCATGCATATCTGAGTTGGAAGCAGGCTTGTCAAATGCCTTGGTGATTATGGTGTTAGTCTCCTAATGTTGGCGAGTTGTTTAGTTCTAACATCACCCTGCATTTTGGTTTTTGCCAATGTGACATGTTGCAGGACTAACGAAGTTCAAAATTGAGCACTTGAGGGGTTTGAAAAGATAATGACGACAAGAAACACGAGGGGCTGAGTGCCAACAGGAGATTACTGATTTCAGATTTCTTCTTTTCGCTAGAGATAAACCATTCTCAGAGATTGCAATGTCTGAAATAATGAGATACGTCTAACATCCAATCCAAAGTAGTGCTTTTTTGTAACTTTCCCTTCAAGTTTGGGATACTTAGTTGATTTTTAAATAAATATTTTGATTGCTAATGAACTGGGCTGTCCTCAGTAAGCCATAAAATATCAAGGTATGCCTGAGTGATTACATCTAAATAAGTTGGAACTGCTAAAATCAAGTGATTACTGATATTTATCAACCAGGGTATTGATGAAGAAGCTCCATGTGAAAATCCATATTGTTCTGTTCATTTTGGATAACTAGAGTTACTGACATGGAAACTAAACGCTTGTCGATGTTCTAAAGAACAAACAGCTGATAAATCTGTTAAGATTTTGCAGTGGAGCTGTTAGGCATCATGGTCGAATTACACAGAGAAATGGATGGGACCTGAATCATCCTTAGCAGCTCCATGGCAGACAGCTGACCATATGCATCAATTACTCGCACAGCCAACATGGTTCCTTCAAGTAGCAGGTTCAATTCAAGAATGTAGTTTTCTGATTCCCTACTTTCTCTTTCATTAGAAGGATTATGGGCATTAATAAGAACCGTTGCCAGGAGTAAGGAAAAGGAGAGCAAGCCGTATGGAATTAAAACCACGGTGGGTGGCCAAAAAGGCACAGGACTTTATCGCGTCACATGGTCCTGGATAAGGTTTTAAACAAGTCATTGCTTTAATGATTTCCGACATGAGCTTATTCCCAGATCTTAAAGCTGTGGCATTACATGATGAAAGTCCCATGTCTGGAATAATAAGTATACCTGCACAACATATATGCGTATAAAATTTGCTATTTCTCTGTTTCTTTCCACTCTTTCTTTAATCTGGTCCTCCTGTGTGAAGGTGGGATAGCACGTGAAGAAAAGTTTGTCAAACTCAATAGCGACCACACCAAAGTAGAGCACTTGCTGCATTAGCAAGAAAGGATCAAAGTAACGTTCGATTCTCATTCCGCAGAAAGAAGCTTTTTTTTAATCAAAATCATAACGTCTTTCAGCATGCTGCCTGCCCATCCAAAATGATGTCCGGGAAGCCCCCTGGAAAAGCTACCTGCTAGCGGTTCCATGATGAAAAGGTCGCCGGGAAATTAATATTATCCGCATTCTTAATAATCAGAAGAAAGATGGGAGCTGATAAAGATTCTGTTTAACGATTGTGGAACGGATTCTGGGAGTTAATTTTGGTGTAAAAGCTTAACAAAAGCAGAGTCGAGGACCAAGGAAATCTTAGCGTGCTTTAATATTTGCTGCTTTCCAAGGCAGTGACATTGCAAGACTTGTAAGTAAGGCCGCAGCCCACAGGAAATGATTTTCTGGAAAGCAAAGATGGGGACAGAGAAAGAAAGAACAACTATCCAATGCTTATGAAACATCAAGGCGAAGATTTTACACAGTTTTTCCAGTGGTGTCAGTGCTTTTAAAATTCTGTCGTGCATTTCAGAGCTAATAATTGGGACCTAAATTTGAATGGAAAAAGATTCATGCAGGCCAAAAGATTTCAGAGCTAATACTAACTGTGTTTTTTTTTAAAAAAAAAAAAAAAAAAAAGTCTTTTCTTTTGACAAAGTAAGGCAAAAGATTTTATCTTTACAGAGCAAACAGACATTCAACAGGATGGTTCTTCCCAGGTTTGCATGTACTGCTATGGTACAGGGGGAAATTTACAGCGAGAAAGATGGAGTTGACATGAATTTGGGGGCAGGGAGAAAGATGGAAATCAGGAGTTGATAGATAGATACAATTGGGGCCATCAACATCAAGCGCGTCATATAGATATAATCCAATTGTTGTTCCATAATTGAGTCACCCGCTGATTCGCTCCGATTTCTTTCCAACGACATTCTCATTCTCAAGCCTAAAGTCTATTTTATCAAAAGTCTCACCCTCCCTCCAAAAGCCAAAACTAACTACTACTCTTAATAAAGCGGAAAAGCTATTAATGTCATCGGCCTACCCTTCAAATGGGGACCCCATGGCTTTGGCTTTGGCTTTTGAGTTTGGCATCCAAAGAACAACAATCATATTATTAACGTCGAGTGCATTTTTGTCCAATGCTCAATTTAAGCTCCATGCTTCTGTTTAGACATACAGATGGGCACTACTGCTATAACACATCTGATTAACCCAAGAAGAATCTGAGCAGAAGGGGATTAGTACGTGTAATTACACGAGAATGAGATATCTCAAATCATGCCAACAAGAAAGAGGCTAACTAATCTCCAAATATGGCATCAAAAAAGTAGCATTGGTATGGCTGCTTTAACTTGAAAAGTAAAAAAGCTATGCTACTTAATTAGTCTGATCAGACAGAAAGGAGGGGCAATTACATTTCCTGGTTTTGTTGTCAATGAGGGAGATGCAGCACAATTTCACAAGATGCACAAGCCTGCAAGTCCAAGGCCAAAAGGCAAAGGAGAAGTGCCATTTTGTTTACGACAAAGGAAATAAATGTCTGTTATTCCTTAACTGATTGAGACTTTCAGTGATCAAACCTTTAAAATTTAGTAATATGATTGGCCTTCAATTAAGGACTAACGTGTTTCATTGCTCCGTTTCGTGCTTTTCTTTTTCTTTTTCCCCCACCATTTTGCAAGCTGGAAGAAAGGACTAGCAGTCTCTGGCACATTCATTCCCCCCTTTGTACTAGTTTCCTTTCCTATGCAGGTCAGTCCAAACCTCAACCACTCTTTCTAAGACTGACTGGTAATTCCTCTACTTTAACAACCGTAAAGAGCTGAAGACCACATGACTTGTGATACATGCGACTACTGAGTGTGTCAATTGCAATTTTTGCACTTTTTTATCAGGGATAATCAGATCAGACGGCTCTTGTCTTTCTTTTTGGGAGGGAAAAAAATAATCGTTGTATTGAAGATTAAGAAAGGAAATGGGGACTTCATTAGTTTTCAAGATTCTGCCCGAGGTCAAGGTTTCAAATCATGTCTCCTATCAATTGTTATAATAAGTGGCTCTTCTAAAATATTCATACCGGTGCATAGCGCACGCATCTGATTCGGTAGCGGTTCAATTCCCACCGATCTTTCGTAGGTCTAATTGGACATATTCCCAAATAGATTAGAATAGAGTAAAACATAAATAAAAGCCACGGTGACAAAAAAAAAAAAAAAATCGACTTTTGTTTATTTGAATCTTAGCAAGCAAACTCTCTCGAAGAGTGGTGGAAGTATTTAAGAGGCAGGAATTCCAACTCTAATACTGATGAGTTATCATGTGGAATTTTCTATATTAGAAAAAAGACAAAACAAAGCCAATAGAAAAATAGGCATGTTGTTGTAAAGTTAACTCCGGTAAAATTACAATAATATATATTACCATTTTTTTTTTTTTTACTTTTATCAATCCTTAACTCTTACACCATTTCTATTCCTATTTTGACTTATATTACTGGATTAAGTAAGTGGGACTAAGAGAAATGATTCCTGCCTCTGAAATATATTATCACACATTTTCAAATTTCATTATTTATTGTAAGTGCAAAGGGTTAGAGGGTGAGCGTGGTAGCAGTGCTAGTACGATGCTACCTACCAATTGGTTGCAGTTGCACCACAGGGCAGGGCATGACGGAATGCCTACTGCCTGCGCTGCTCCTTTAGCTTGTCAGAGAAAAAGAAATGTCTCCACCAAAAGCGAGCCAGCCTGTTTCCCAATCCCCTGCCCCACCGCCCCCCCCCACCACGATCCCCGTCACTCTTCCGATTATTTCCCGTTTCTCCTCCCCCCTTCCATTTTGTAATAACTCTAAAGTACCACCAAAACCAAAATCAAGCCCCCCCCCCCCCCACTTCCTTCCACTGCTCATTCCCACTTATCAGCCATTTATGCCACGTGTCAATTTATTGTTCTCCAGTTCAGAATGCCATCCATCATTAGCAACTAATTACTGTCAATACAAATTAGCTCAATTAGTAATTAAAACGGATTATTTTCTTATCAAAAAAAAGAAAAAGAGAAGCCATTGCCCCATATTTTAGTCTATTCAAGTTTCAACACGTACCAGTTACCCAGTCAAAAAGAGATTTCAAATTATATATTCAAGATAAGAGGACATTTTTACCAAAACTTCACTAGATAAGGAGTAGTAAAGTAAACAGCCAGCGACAAAGAAGTATCAAGAAGTGTGGTGGTGCATAGAGAAAAGTAAAGAACAAATGAGGGTGAAAGCGAAGGGCGACGCCTGCAGTAACCGAGTCGTCGGCGGCCAGCATTAAGCCAGCATCCTCCCAGACATCAATCAAACATATCGGAATGTGCCTTTGTTGGTATGCTACTATCTTTGTAATTTCAAGGTAGAATTGTAAACAAGCCAGTTGGCAATTTCCAGTCACATGGTTGCAGAATGACCAAATGGTAGTTTACCCAAATCAAGCCAAGACAGATGCATCCGCTAAGGAGGCATATATTCTTCCAGTCTTTGACTAAAAATCGGGGTAGTTTCTATTAAACAAAGAATCAAATCAAAAATATAAAACAACTAGTAAATCACAGAATGGTCAATTCCAACCAGTACATGGAATCCATCCCCCAACTCCCACGGAACTATTTAAATCTTCAACTATCACCGCATCATCCAAAAGGAAAAACAAAAAAAAAAAAAAAAATTTAATGCACAATTTGAACCCCACCAAGAAAGGGGAAAAAAAATAAATTCCTGCCTACGAAAAAATCTAAAGAGAAACACAATGGTGTCAACCCATTATTACAAATTTAATCCCCAAGAACTGTGCAATTTTTTGGGGTGACACCATTATTCCTTTTTTTTCTTTTTTTGGTGATTTCCAATTTCCCCTAAATGTCGATCTTATTTTTACCATTTTCCACCCGGTAGGGACTAGGGAGTGACACCACGAGGTGACGACCTCGACTCCTGAGGTGTGTGGCTATCTGATCCTTTGGAGGGATCATCAGAGGACTGCCGTAGCCCATCGTCTGTTTCACCTCTGTTCATATCTTCAATCATTCTGACCACCTCTTGCATTCCGGGCCTTTGGTCTGGTACGGTAGCAACGCATGCCATCCCTATTTGAAGAAGCTGCACCATCTCTTCTTCCACATTGTGATATCTCATTAGCTCGACGTCGAATACTTCAGCTGTCCATTCCTCCCTAACAACACTTTGGACCCATCTAGGCAAATCAATGCCTTCTTCACCTAACGAAGCTTGATTTGGCGCTTTGCCCGTTAAGAGCTCCAGTAACAATACCCCAAAGCTGTACACATCAGATTTAAATGTGACTCTGCGAGTTTCAAGCACTTCTGGAGCCCGGTAGCCGGCAACTCGGTGATTGGGAGGGCTCGAGTTGGAGAACAGTGCGTTCAACCCGTAATCTGATACACAGGCGTCCTGGTTTTCTTGCTTGAGGAGGACGTTGGACGACTTAATGTTGCCGTGGACTACTTTTCCTGAAACGTGGAGGTGCACAAGGCCTCTAGCAGCAGCTAGGGCAATCCTCATCCTACTATCCCAGTCCAATGGTGTACGACCAGACCCTCTGCTCCCTGTAAACATAGAAAGCACCATTCAATAATCGGGTTCTAAATTATAGTTTTGAGTATATTGAAGTTCCATAACTATAGAAAACAGTAGCAAGCAAAAAGATCATCTTAATCTACACAACTGTTGCCCGACAAAAAGAATGAAACAAGGGATACGCATATAGCAAATGAGCCGAACCAAAAGGACCAGGAAATGATAATACATTTTAGGTTTAGTTACCGTGTCAAATTTGGATCAAAATAAGGCTTCAAATGAAAGAAAATTGCCAGTGAAGAAAGAATCAGAAGATTGAGACATTTTAGTAAAAACAATCACAGTTGCTTACTTCCAAAGAATATGTCTGGTACCAGTGCATCAATTATTAGTATTATAAGCATTAGTTGTGATTGAGGAGCGCACTTTCAATTTTTCAAAATAGCTACAAGCACCTTACCACAGAACTGCGTTTGGCGAAATGGGTTTGATGCGTAATTGGGGTTTACACAGGAATACATTATGAAGATATCGTGAAAGACACAACTTCATAAAAGGTCAAAACTCGTTGCAGTTTAAGTAGGAATACATTATGAAGATGTGAAAGACACAACTTCAGAAAAGGTCATAACTACCATTTTAAAGCTGCTTTGAAAATTGATATTTATCAATCCGAGTAAAACTGGAAACAGAGTAACAGACCCAGTGATACAACTGTAAGAGAAAAAAGAAAATATTTTCGTATCTTGACAAAGACTACATCTACAGTCTTAGAACATTTTATTAAATCATTTATCAGAGAAAGCATGTTGGTCGTATGCAAAGGTACTACTGCAAAGTTAGCACAACGATGTTAATCTGTAAAATAATGGCAATGGACTTAAACTACAATTACTAGTGCATTCTAACTTTCAAAATTGTTGCAGAACTAGTGCAACAAATTCAAACAAGAGCAGCTCTGCACGTTATAAGCTGGTTAACGGTGTTACAT